TTTAATTACCAGATGCCATGTGTACCTATCTATCGCTCATTGGCACTATCTTCTGATGGGCTTTTGGCTTACTCAGAAGAATCCCCTCCTCCCAAGCCTCTGTTGTATTTCCTTCTCTTATTTCTACACTACAGTTTAAATTAATGTTCCTGAATAGATTATCCTTTTTTTCCATTCCTCTAATTATCTAAAGTACCCTACTAGACATCTTTCTCAAAAAATGTATACCATGAACTATGAAGTTTTTAAGTTAAAAAAAGAAACTAGAATTTTAATTAGAACTATACTAGCTAGATATGGTGGTGCACACTTTTAATCCCAGCACTACAGAGGCAGAGGCAGGTGCATCTCTTGAGTTTGAGGCCAGCCTGATCTACAAAATGAGTTCCAGGACAGCCGGGGCTAGACAGAGAAACCCTGTTTCAAAAAACACCCCCCCCCAAAAAAACAAAACTATCTTGGAGACTATATAAATATCTTTATGATGGCAAATTTACTCCCATCTAAGAATATACTGTATTCCAACATTCCTTAAGGAAGGCCTGCTCTGTAAAAGAAGTTTCACAGAGATTTAAAATTTTGTTTCATATTGGGAATACAGTTTGGCAATGAAACACATGCTTAGCCAATGTGAGCCCTTAGGTTAAATTCATACCACTAAAAGAATATTCAAAAGGTGAAGATTTTTAAATTAATATTAGAATCAAACATATTGTGATATAAAAAGGATCTGAGAGGATGAGTATTTCATATCAATGTGATTTCCCAGATGGGACCAGCAAGTGAGCTGTACAAGTCATTTCATAGCAAGCACACTTGTGACTTACTTAACACAAGACAACACCAAGTCTCAAAGGCATCAACAATGTGCTTTAGATTGAAGGTAAGAACTCACTGTATCCAAACTACCAAATGAGCAAAGCAGACCAAGCAACTGCGTTTTTGTTGTGTCTCATATTTTGCCCACCACTATCCTGCTCCTTCTGCAATCTACACAGTGAATGAGTAGACTAGAGCTCGTGAATCAAATAACACTTGTTAGTAGTCAAGCTGCCAAGTATACAGAGGAGCCCATTCTCAGCCCTTATAGTATGCTACAGTACAGCTTTCTTGTGGCCCGGTAAAGTTGCTCCATTCTTTTTTGTTTTGTTTTTTGTTTTACAAGACAGGGTTTCTCTGTATTGCTTTGGAGGCTGTCCTGGAACTCAATCGTAGACCAGGCTGGCTTCGAACTCAGAGATCCACCTGCCTCTACCTCCCGAGTGCTGGGATTAAAAGCATGTACCAACAATGCCTGGCTTTAAAGTCGCTCCATTCTTATTTTGCTTTTTGTATTCACTTAAGAGAAGAGAGCTAGGGAAATGAAAAATACGTTTAAATCTTGTGACTAGAGTAAGTTTTAGCTTAGTAAGTTTCCCGTTGAAATCATCAAAACATTTTGAGATCATAAAGCATCTACAGAAAAGAAAAGGTTTGCTCAAAGAAAATGTTACTTTGTTTTGTGAAAAGGAGTATGAGGATTTTTCATGTGCTAAGACAAAAACACAGAAGGGCCCTGTGTGGTCTGGGTATGGGGAAAATAAGCAGAGACAGAAGGAAGGTGTAGAGAAGTCCTGAATAAGAATCAGAAGTGGGAAACACTGCCCGTTGAGGGTCAGGTAAGGCACAGGAGGGCAAGACAGGCATGGTTGGGATGGGTTAATTAACAGGGGGAGCTCCTGGAACCACAAAGGCTTATGTACCCGAGCAGGGCCCACGTTAGGATCAAACCTCCCAGAAAGAGAGCTCAGAAACAGGCACAGAGAGGAAAACATCAGGAAGCCAACTATGCCACCAGCAGCCTGGAGAAACAGCAAGCAGAGAAGATGGGGATGGCAAAGGCAAGAAAAAAAGAGGTGGCTCAAAGCACAGCAGATACAGATCCACTCACTCTGTACTTCTTGTCTAGGGAGCAACCTAGGAGGGCTGACCACGCCCATAGCTGACAGGCACTCGGGCCAGGATCAGATAAGTCGTACAAGTTTACTACTGTGCCATGTGGCTGAGGAACAGTATTTCATTGCCCCAACACACCTTTTCTTCTTGAGACAGTGTCTCTCCTTGTATAGCTGGTGTTAGTTACTTTTCTGATGTTGTAATAAAATGCCATGACCAAAGCAACTTATGAAAAAAAAAAAAAAAAAAAAAAAAAAGGATTGTTTTGGCTTATGGTTCCAGAGGGATAAGAGTCCCTCATGGCAGAGAGGGACCATGCCACCACAAGTGCTGGCATGAAAGCAGAAGCAGGAAGCTGAGAGATCACATCTTAAACTGCAAGCAAGAACAAACCGAAATTGACTGAAGTTATATAATCTCAAAGCCTGCTCCTGGTGACCTACTTCCTCCAGCAAAGTCATACCTCCTAACCCTAACCCCCCAAACTGGGAACCAAGTGTTCAAATACCAGAGGTTATGGGGGAATCTGCGCCTGTGAAGAGCCTCCCAAGAGCGAGGCTACAGGCGTGTGCAAGGCACATCTTCAGATGTGCAAGGCACGTCTTCAGTTATACAGCTCCACGGTGAGGGGACTGCTCTAAGCACAAAGCCTCTAAGCAAGTCTCTCTTCTGCCATTTCTAAACAAAACTGATCCATGAATCTGCTAAAATGGGGAAACTTATAAAAACTCGAACAGGCCTCTACTAGCCTTGTCAAATATCACGATTCTACTCAATGACTTAAAGGAGGGTCACAAATGTCATAAAGGTGCAAGACTGTAAATAGGGTGATAACAATAAACAATCAGAAAGATCTCCAAAGACTGGAGATTAATGATACTCCACAGAAATATATGGCAGGTTTCATAATTAGACTTTAAAACCAAGCTATATAACAAGATCAAAAGAAAACATGGCTTTACAGCATCGTGCAAAGTCTATTAAAGTCAGTGAAGACTAGAAGTTAACAAAAGTTAGCAAAATCATCCAACCACAAGAAATGTTATTAAGATTTCCCCTATAAGAAATCAGACAAAGACAGCCAGAAGGTGGTGGCACACGCCTTTAATCCCAGCACTCGGGAGACAGAGTCAGGTGGATCTCTGTGAGATCGAGGCAAGCCTGGTCTGTCTACAGAGTGAGTTCCAGGACAACCAGGACTGATACACAGAGAAACCCTGTCTCAAAAAACAAAAACTAATCAATTAATTAATTTAAAAAATAAAAAGAAATCAGACAAGAGAACGGCGCACCAAGCTGAACTAGCCTGATCAAGCTCCTGATACAGTGTTCAGAGGCATATTTTATACTTGAAGACAAAAGGACTGCTATAATCTATTGAGGGATTGAAACGCTGACAAGAGAGAAAAGGCTGATAGAATTAAGAACTCAATCCATGACAGACAATGCACACGGACAGCTGGTGGGCCAATCCACATGACACACCAATGCAGTACCAATGGACTCTGTGTGTACAGCAAAACTCAATACCCTGTCTGTACACCTAGGGAAAGGGTGTGCAAGTGCTAAAGAGCCAATTGCCCCAGCCAAGGCCCAACATTTCTTCCCAGCTCTCCACTGGTACCTCAGGGCATCCAGGACCAACACTCCTTCCCAGCTCTCTGCCAGCATCTTAGAAAGCCTAGGAATACCCACAAATCCAGGGCTCTCAGCAGACTGCCTGCTCCTGGCACTCTGGTGGGTTGGATTCTATGATCGAGCTATACCTTGAGCAAAATATTGGCTGTGGCTCAATGTGGATATCCTGAATTCTGAATTTAATCTAATTAGGGCAGGGCATGAGGTCACTATGAAAGTTAGTGGCTTTTACCCTGTGAAAGCATAGGAGACCAGATGTCAGCCACAATTATGTTTTTACTTAAGTTCTACTTAAATGAATGTCTCAGTGGGAGATAGGTATTTTCTTTCCTGTCAAAGGAGCCCACACACAACTCTGTTCCAGTGTCCACGTTAATTCGTGAGGAAATACAATAGGAACAAGAAGATGTTTCCTAAAACTTCAGTTTCAGGAAAGTGTCCCAAATCTCAGATAGAAAGGAAAATGTAGTCGACAGTTTCCAGATGTAAAATGAGAAACCAGGAAAAACAGGTATCCTAAGATGCCCCAAATGGATAGGCTGGAATTAATTCCTGCAGGAAAATCTTACAGTGTTAAATTGTGCAATTTCCCAGTGACAGCTACAGTCCTCATACTTTGATTACCTGTGTTCTGCACGTACTAGCTCACCTATTCACTTTTAATAGCTATATCCTGAAGTGTTTTAGGAAACCTTTTCTAGCAGTAGGTTTTAAAGTAACACACTGGGCCTGGGAGATGACTTTGCAGTAAAGGTACTTGTCGCCAAACCTAAGGAACTCAGTTTAATTCACAGAACCTACAAAGCAAAGAGAGAAATGACTCTGGAGGGAGTGTCCTTTGACCTAGAGGTGTGACATACATATACCCATATACTAGAGGTGTGACACACATACACCCATATAAATACATATACACACACCACACAAAATAAATGAATGTAATTGTTCAGCTTTGTTATTTGAGACAGGGTTTCTCTGTATAACAGCCCTGGTTGCCCTGGAACTCACTCTGTAGACCAGGATGGCCTCGAATTAATGGGGATCCACTCACCTCTGCCTCTCTCCAAAGTGCTGGGATTAAAGGCATGGGCCACCACCCAGCATAATTTTTTTTAAAGATTTGTACAAATCAATCATACAAATGAAATTCTTCTATAATTAAACTTTTAAGAAAGAAAACTTAGAAAGATTTAGGGATGGGCATTCATGGTGTTTAGTATGGAATTAAATTCTACCACAAATAAATTTTAAGAAGGCATTGTTACTTTTAATGGGAAATAACAGAGACTATCTCGTATAAACATTTAACTAAGAGGCAACATAACAGTCACCAGCAAGACTGTTGTTGTTTTAACAATATCGAAGAAAATGAGATGAAGTGTTAGTAAATAAATTACATGCATACAACTAGAAAAAAAAATGCTTACCTGCAATACAAATTTCTGATCTATGTATTTTTTGGCAATGCTGGGTTGGAATTCTTGGCTTTCCAAAAATCGTATGAAAAATTCATATATAAGCTGCAATAACAACAACAAAGACTGTAGTTAACTTCAAATTAGAATTCATTACACTAAAAACACATTACACTAAACACATTACACTAAAACTGACAGGGCTTAGGACATCAAGTTTAACTATCAATCCATGAGCTGTGCTGGCCTTTCTTGTGACTCACAGCTAGTGTTATCAATTTTTTTTGTTTGGTTTTGGTTTTTCAAGACAGGGTTTCTCTGTGTAGCCCTGGCTGTCCTGGAACTCACTTTATAGTCCAGGCTGGCTTTAACTCACAGAAATCCAACTGCCTCTGCCTCTGCCTCTGCCTCCTGGGTGCTGGGATTAAAGGCATGCGCCACCATGCCCGACTTAGTATTGTAATTTTTAACTTTTAAAATTAAAAAGCAAAAAACCTAGCAAAAGCAGATAAAATTCCATATTGTCACCATCGAGAGAACCCCACTGTTTAGTTTGTCGTTGTCCCCATCCCCTCTTGTCCCATCTCCCTCCCAATTGCCCCGCTCTGTGTAGGTAGGTAGGTAGTTCTGAGGGTAGTTCTCTTCTTCTACCATGTGGTCCTGGGATTGAACTCAGGTCAACTTGATAGTAAGTACATCTTGTCTTAATGAACTATCCTGCCAGTCCACCGTTAACATTTTATGTACATCCCTTCCTCTGAAACACATCTGAACTATATATAAATCTTTGCAATTCTTGATAAGTTATTTTATCATTTAAACAGTACATAATGAATAATCTGTGTCAACATTATCAGAAACATTTTTGTAAATAAGCCATTACTGATAATTTATAGTGAATTCCATTGCTCATAATTAAGCAATCTCCTGTGCTCAGATAGTTAGTTTCTATAGTGTTTCTCTAGCAAAGCACTCCACAATTCGTATCATACAGAGCATACACTTCTTCAATTACTTCATGAGTAAATGTTTTTAAAAGTGGGCTTGTCAGCTGAAAAGACACCCAAACACTCTGGATTGTTCATCATCACTGCCAGATTTTCTTTAAGAAAGTGTATGTCATCTTACACTCTTGGGAAGCAATGTTTGTGTAACTCAGTATCCTCATTTGGAAACAGCGTAGTCACACGGGCAGGGTCAGCCTCAAATAACTCTTCAGATAAACAGTGCAGGATCGATGTTTATTCTCTTTGTTTGTATAATAAATCTATGTTAAAGGCCACACCAGACTAGACAGCAGCATCACTGAACCAAAACTTTTAAGAGAGGAACCCTGGGCTAGAAGCCCAGCTGTATCCCTTACTAACTGTATAAGCCAAAGCACATTCGTTTTTTGAAATTTTGTTTCTTTCATTTTGCAATGGAGATGATACTAAGAGTAAATGTTACATGCAAAGCCTTCTGTACAGTGATAAACATAATCACCATCATTTGCCTAAAACATTTGTGTTTCTTTCTTTCACACTTAAAATTAACAGACATACCCAAAAGTTTTATGAAATAAATATGCATGCATGTGTGAATATCTAAATTTAGATGTTTTATATGTACTTATAAGGAAAAGGAGAAAATTTTAAATACACTTCATTTCATTTTATAATAAAATGCATTACATGTTAACAGAAGCATATATATTCTTAAAACAACTGCTATTTTAATACTTCACTATAAAGAAAAGAACTTAGATAGGTATGCTAGCACATGCCTGAAATCCCAGCACTAAGAGACTGGGGCAGGAGGGCTGTGAGTGTGAGGCCAGGCTGTCTAATTAGAAAAACCCTGACCTGAGAAAATAAGATAAATAAATAAGGTGTTGCATTGTTTAAATGTTTTTGGTAAAAAAAAAGTCTAATATATAACAGAAGACAGATTCACATTTGCTTGACAATTTAAGCTGTGATTTATTGTTTTGGTTGAAGTATACTTTTTTAAACAAGTCAATGTTAGGAAAAGAGTATTTTATAGTCTTCTCACAGAATCATAGACATATTTCTTTAATGCAAACATCAAAACTCAACAGCCTCTCATTTCTGAAACATGAGTTGTAGTGCAGCTTCGAAGTTAAGAGTACATGCCATGCAAGCAAGAAATGGAGTTCAACTCCAGGACTCATGTCAGGCTGGGTAGGCATAGGCCACCTACAGCTCCAGTCTCAGAAGGCAGATGAGCGCACCACTAGGACAAGTTGACTAGCCAGTATACCAGAGCTCTCAGTGTGACTGAGAGACACTGCCTCAAAGGATAAGTTTGAAGAACAATGGGGGACAATCCTGACATTAGCCTCTGGGCTCCACAAGCAACACACACACACACACACACACACACACACACACACACACAAAAGTAAAAGTAGAAAAAAAAAAAATGGGCTGCAATGCAGAATCTGAAATGATACCAATGAACTATGCAACTATCCCACAATCTGGATGGACCTTGATCATGTGTGCTCCTAACTTGGGTCATTTTCCAGTTGGGAATTATTGGCTCATTGACTCATATAGACTTTCCAAATATTGACAAACCCTATTTCACAGTATCTTTTTAACAATCACATTTTTATTTTCTCCCAAGAACAGTTTTTAAATTTTGAGAGGCTGAAAAGTTTGGTATATAACAGATACATAAAACAGCTAGATGCTATATAACAGATATATTATAGGACAGATACTGGCTTTTTAAAGTTCAAATTCTAAGTTATGCCTCTAGTATTCAGATTCTATCTTAAGAATTATTATTAAGTGGGCTTCCTTGTTTTAGAGAAAAAACAACAAATCCAGCTTGTTGTTTTGTCAGGTACAAATGATGTCTCATGAAAAAACAGACAGCATAGCTCGTTATTCAAAGCAACCGCACAGCATCCTTCCACAGAATCAGCACTCTACTGCAGCATGCAGGAATATGATTTATGCATACTTCTCATGTCACCATGCAGAGTATTTTTTAAAGTATGCTCAAGGGTCACAATTTAATAGAATTAGTCACTTTCGATGCTCTTCAAACCTTCTTAAGTGAAATAAGCATCTGAAAACTTCAAGTTCAGACAGGGAATAAAACTGAGTACTTGACCAGTCTGACACTTGTCTTTATTTATGCTAAGTCAACAACATTTTAAACGTCACTACACCCAGCAATGGTAGCAATCACCTTTAATCCCAGCACTCAAGAGGCAGAAATCGAAAGAGCTTTGTGAATTCTGGGCCTGCCACTGGGTCTACACAGTGAGTTCCAGCATAGCCAGAACTACACAGTGAGACTCTGACCATCATTTTTATAATGAATAGTTCAAACAGTACAACAACTAATAAACACAGGGACAAGGGCAAATAACATAGGCCTGTGATAAAAGAAGTAATAGGGGCCAGTGAAATGGTTTAGTAAGTAAAGGTGCTTGGTGCCAAGCCTAGTGAGCTGAGTTCAATTCCCAGAACCCAGATGGTGAAAGGGGAGAAGAGAAGCAGCTCCCAAAATAACACACACACACACACACACACACACACACACACACACACACACACACACACGTATGTAAACACACACAAATAAATAACTTTATTTAAAAGTGTTAGCCTTGGGCTCTGGAGAGATGGCTCAGAGGTTAAGAGCACTGACTGCTCTTTCAGAGGTCCCAAGTTCAATTCCCAGCAACCACATTGTGACTTACAACCATCCGATATGAGATCTGGTGCCCTCTTCTGGTGTGCAGATATACATGGAAGCAGAATGTTGTATACATAATAAATAAATAAATAAATAAATAAATAAACAAAATCTTAGGGAAAAAAAAGTGTTGGCCTTGTAGGCTACTGAAAATTAACTGAGGGACATCTAAGGGTCCGGGAATATCACTAGCTTACATATTCTTACAGAAGTCTGGTAGCTTCACTGTAACACTTAAATTTGGTAATCCTGTTATCATTTTTTTTTACTATATATTTAGAGAGAGAGAGAGAGAGAGAGAGAGAGAGAGAGAGAGAGAGAGAGAGAGAGAGAGAGTGAGTGTGTGTGTGTCTGGAAGGCAACTTCCAGGATTAGTTCTCTCCTTCCACCATATGGGTTCTGGAGATGGAACTTGAGTTGTAGCTGCGCCTCCTGAGCCGCCTCCTGCCCACTTCCCCATTAGCATTTAATGTTTTCATAAAGCTGCTGTGGTGTGGTGCTATGTGCCTGAAGATGAGGCAGGTCTAGGAGTTCTAGATGGGGCCTGGGTGACAAACAGATAACTCATGTCAAATGGGAGGAGGAGGTGGGGGGGGTGTTGACAACTCACAAAACTGTGTGGGTTTTGTGCTGTGGAAAACTCCTTTTGTAGACTGTAAAGATTTGTCACTTGGATTGGTTTAAATAAAAAGCTGACTGACCAGTAGCCAGGCAAGAAGTATAAGGGGCACCACCAAACTAAGGATACCAGGATGAAGAAAGGCAGAATTAGGAGTCGCCAGGGGAGACAGAGAGCAAGACAAGCTGGAGGACAGGTAAAGTCATGAGTCACGTGGTGATTAATAAAAATATGGATTCATTTAAAATTTAAGAGTTAGCAAGTAACAAGCCAATTTTTAAGCTTAAGTTTTTTTTTTTAAGAGTTAGCCAGTATTGGCAGATATTTGGTAACTGTTGGAAGGACAGAAACTTCCACCTACAGTTTTGTTTTCTTTTGCTTTCTCTTAAACACTTTCTCAGTACAGGGGGAATGTCTTTTCCAGTAATGCAGTAGTGTAGTAGTTACAATATGGCTTGAATTTCCACTCCTCACATAACTGTTCTCTCTTCAACACTCTCATTTTTTAACATATAGAATTCCAGACTCACTCAAACTACCCTTTTCCTGAATTCACACAAAGGAAGAGCCCCTTCTCCCAGGCCATACTTGGCCATGGGCCATTCCACTGGGCCTGACAATTGGTCCCTTCAAAGCAGTTGTCGCTTAAAGTGACTTGGTGGAAACACTTCAGAAACATTTAGAAATAAGCACAAACTAAACCTCAGAATCAAAAATCTCCTTTGAGTTTCTACAGGGAAAAAATGGGGGGTGGGGGTGGGGGAAATTACTAGTTGAGGTCTCATAAGGAAGGCCCATGAGCAAAAAGTTAACATTCCTTGTAGCAAGTCTCACTGTAAGGCACTGAAAGCCATCCTTAATTATAAACAGCAGTCCTGCAAAATTGTATTCTACTGGGAAGGCAGATCTAATCTCAGAAAACACACAACAATAACCATGGCAACTGTGTCATTCATTCTAGCTTAAAATACACCAATAGAAGTACTAGGAAAAAATTATATATCGTGCATTCAAGTAAACATCTGGCATATTTGATCAAGTAACATGTGAACCTGATATTCTGTTGTCTATTTTGGTAAATCTGTGGGCCACAATTTTTAAAAAGTTCTGCAGGAACAGTCAGTTAGCTGGATAGTAAGAATAGCCAACTACAAACTAACCAATAGCGTTGTTTTCTTATTCTCTATTATTCTCCAATAATCATACTTTGCTCTATTATACAATGTGGTACAGAAGAGGAAACATGTTGTAAATCATGAAATCCACAAAGGTGATTAAAAAAGATCAGTTGTTATAACAATTTAAAGGCTACTAGACAGGTGCAGTGGCACACAACTCCAGCACTCCGGAGGCAGAGGCAGGAGAATGGCCAGACAGAGACAGCCTGGGCTACACAGTGAGTGAGACCAGTCCAAACTTCACGGGGAGGCCATATTAAAAAAAAAAAAAAAAAAAAAAAAAAAAAAAAAAAAAAAAAGAGATCAAGGGCAGGGGATGTAGACCAAGAAGTGCCAGACAGCACGTGCCAAAACCCTGGGCTCATCCCTAGCACTTCAAGGACAACAAAGCAGATAAAATATTGAGTTTAGTGGGCGTGCGTGCGTGCGTGCGTGTGTGCGTGTGCGTGTGATATTTCTCTCCTTCTGTCGTGAGTGGCAGGGACCAAACTTGGGTTGCCATATTTTCATACACTCAGCCATCTTGCCAATCTCTTAAACACTCCCTGAATGATCTCATCAGTTAAAGCCACCCACTTGAGAAATGGAAAGGAGACTAATTTGTGCGGTAAGGCTACCCAAAGGAAAGCTAGGACCCGTGACACAAGTCTGGAGTCTGCCCCAGGGTGTCCACAAAGCAGGGAGAATGAAGCCAAGCAGGCACTCTTCCTCTGACCTCACCTTTGTACACTGGGACAGGACACTGGCCTTACATGGCCCTGATTATATAGCTGAGGATGACCTTGAGCCCGACTGCCCAGCCCCTCTCTCCCAAGAGCTGGGATCATAGGCGTGTGCCACCACAGCTGTTTTTTCTGTGATTTTTAAAAGTAAGCTTCTTTCACTTGATCCAATCTTAGTCACACATATTTCCCTCCAAGCTAAGAAAGGACCTGAAGGATTACAGGCCTGAACAAGATGTCAGCATACTTAAGACCAGCCCATTGTGCAAACATTTCTGACTTTATATCTAAAACGGCAAAAGTATCATTGCCAGGCCTCACTGTTGCTGTAATTTCATATGGACCAGAAGTTACTATTCCCACAGTAAGTCAGTGAAGCTAAGATGTGGTATACACCTTAATGCAATAGCTTAAGAAAATAAATTAGCTTTCTATTTCACAGCATTAAGTAAACTTGGATTTGCAAGTCCTTTATAATAAAGTTCTAATAATATTTTTAAGTTCAGGAAGATAAATTGAAATACTGAGTAAGTCCTTGTTGAATTTTAGGGAAAACTTATGTCTAAGAGAGTGCTAAAAATGCTTTGCCAATGGCACAAGTGCCCTGGCCCTTCACTGGCATATACACCACAAGATGTAGGACACACTTAGAATGATTAACTTTTTTTCTTAATTATTTTTTCTCTGAGGCTAAATTTTAATCCAGTTGGCTGGTACCAAGCATTAAGAATAAGACAGAATGCCTGGTTGTGCTGGCACACGCCTTTGATCCCAGCACTCAGGAGGCAGAGCCAGGCAGAGCTCTGGGCTACACCACATAGTATAAGACCCTACTTCAAAAACTGAAAAGAAAAACAAAATCAAAGCAGGATTCAGACCCTCTAAAAAGAAAAGTTTCAGTGGCAGGAGGAAGAGATGAGAGGGCAAGAGGGGGAAATGACCTAAATTGATTATGCTCACACAAGAAGTCATTAAAGAATTAAAAATAAATAAATAAATAAATAAAACATGGCAAGAATTCATGGGGTTTGAATGTTGCATCACCTAGGATATACATACGAAAAGCACACTACACTTACAGATCTTCCACCACTAGGCAGCTAGAGCAAAGAAACATCAAACCAAAGAAATCAAATAGTGTTTAAACTAATGTAATTTGCCCAACCTTGGCAGCTCTAACAGGACACACAGTATCACAAGCCTGAGGACATGTTGAAAACACAGCTCTAGAAGGAGCCCTGTAGCCAGGAAAAACAGCATACAGTGTGCCTATATCACGTATAGGTGCCAAAAAGGGACAGGCCAAGTGGTAAAATCTATAGCAAAGACTAAAGTGGGGAAAGCGCACAGTTAGATTCACGCTGGGCCTTTTCAACTCACCCCTCAAAATGTCAGTGAGTTAACAAGCATAAACACACAATGGCTTCTACCGGGGGTGAAGATGGACAAGGCCACATACATTCTTTTCCACCCCTCCCTTTCCTTCCTATTATTTATTACTGGCCTCTGGAGACGTTGGACCTCAATGGAAAGACGGCTTTGTGGGGGTCAACAGAGTCAAGCTTCTCTGCCTTCTCCTTTTGAGGGATATTGGCCTCAGGAAAGGACACAAAGGAATAAGGAGCTGAAAAGTGTCAGCTAATATGCAAGTAAACAAAGTAGTAGGCCTGCCACTAGCCTCCAGAAGGCACTGTGGTCCTGACCAGGCCGGGCATGGGCAGAAGGAAACAGACCTTCACCCCAGCTCTCTCTGTTGTTTCTCTATCTCACACCACTAGAAAGGAAACTGCAGTTTGGCTTTGCCCTTCTAGGAAACTCAGGAAGGCCACTTATTGTTATAGAACAGACAAGGCATACAAAGCCCCCGGGCACCTACTGCTAAAAATGAGGTATGTGCTCTGTGACCTAATCACATCCAGCTAATACTAATATGAAAACAGTTCTGTTCTTGTTTAAAATTCCACTGGGCAGGACCACAGACACACAGGTTCTGATAAAGGAATAAGACTTGCAGGCTAGACCTGTAACACGAGGACCCAGTGGGTCTTACAAAAGTACTGCACTGAAACCCACTGTTCCCTTTTTCTGGCATGCTAATTATCAAGCACATTTAACACAAAAGCCCTGGCATTGGGGAGGCAGAGGCAGGGGAATCTCAAAGTTTGAGGCCAGCCTGGTCTACAGAATGAGTTCCAGGACAGCCAGGGATACACAGAGAAATCCTGCCTCAAAAATAAATCAATCAATCAATAAATAAATAAACAAAAAAAAAGAAAGCATTCTTATGTTTGCACTATGTATTCTAATTTTTGGTCTCTTCAAGAAATCCCCATGCTAGTCAGGGGAAGAGTTAATGAAGCTTTTTTTTATAACATAAATGAAAAGTCAAAATACCTGTAAGTGGGGCCACGACGCCTCGAGGGTAGGTTCATCTTCTTCTGGGTCGAATTCATTGCTGTCACTAGGAGGGAGAGTTCTGAATATATTGCAAGATACCTAAAAATAAACAAGCAGCAATCAGCTCCAAGTACCTTTGGCAGGTGCTCTGGGGACACGAAATGCCACAGAACTGAAACTGGGGACCTCTTTCCACAGGCTCCAGGCTGGGACCACCTGGAGGCAAGGCTGGCACTCTCACTGACATTCCCACCCCTGTGAATGGACATGTCCGTCCGAGCTGGTGCTTGTTCACTTAGCAGTCAAGTGTGTTTCTAACTAGTCCATTTACCCCAGTACACAAATAACTACTAATGGCTGCAAGCTCTTCCTCTTCCTGCCTCATTCATAGTTACAATTCACAATTTATATATTTATTGTTGAACTCAATGAAATTTCTGGCAATTGCAAAGGGGGGGGGGAACAGGAAAGAAACTTAAGAACCCTTGCTAACAGCCTTTACAATCACACCTAATCTTGCCCTAAATGGTTTACAATTTTTATGGAAGCCCAGGATACACTGTATCTCTGTCTAAACCTCCATGAGCACAGCATTTCTTTGCCATAGGCAATATCCAATTAAATGCTGACTGATCAAGAGGCTGTAAGCTGGATGCTGAATGAGTATGAAGACTTGATGGATCTCCTACTACATGTATTATAGGATTCCCACCACAAAACGCTCATTTCTGAAATGCTATTAATGCTATCCTGATGGTTCTTTTTTCATTCCCATGCTGTCTCTCCTCCTCCATATTCATCTAACCTTGTAATCAAGCACACCTTCTGATTTGAAGACCAGGAACGACAGAGACATGTATAGAAGGGGAAAAAGGAAAGGTGACAGTGCATCAGAAGCCTTGCAGGATCTTCTACGCAGGGTGGAAATACTGACCTATGATGAGCTACTTCGTTTCTGTTTTGTTTGACTATATAACCCTGGCTGGCTTCGAACTCAGAGATCCACCTGCCTGCCTCTGCCTCCAGGGCACTGGAATTAAAGTACTACACCTGGCTGATGCCCAATTTTGGAAACACAGGAAGAGCTTTTAGAATCCCAGGTGGGTGTGTTTACTCATTTAAGCACTTATTAGTGCTGTTATGTGTACACACCATTCTGGACACTGGGAAAATAATAGTGAACAGAGAAGAGAAAAGCCTACTCCTTCATGAAAATTCCATTCCAACTAAAGCTGTAATATCCCCACTCCCAGTTATGAACACTGAAATCAGGTAGGTAAGCTATGAAAGAGTGACTGGATTCTATTGGAAGTGCCACAGGAAGTCATTAATGGATTGTATATAGGGAAGTCACATGATTTGATTTTTTTTTTAATCAGTTCAATAGCTTTAGAGAGTTTAAGCAGTATGACAAGGACAGAGGTCACTCAGACTAGAGGGTGGCAGAGAAAACAGTATGTGTGGAGTGACAAAGGAAAGAATACAGGATGGGGGGTTGAAATAATAGCTCAGTGGTTGAGAGAACTAACTGTTCTTCCAGAGGATCCAGGTTAAATTTCCAGCACCCAAGTGGTGGCTCCTAACCATCACTACTTCTAATTCCAAGGGATCTAACATCCTCTTCTGAACTTCACAGGCACCAGGCATGCACACAATAATGCATGTAGGCAAATACATACACAATAAAGGAAATAAACAAATCTTTTTTTTTGGGGGGGGGGGGTTGGAGACAGGGTTTCTCTGTGGCTTTGGAGACTGTCCTGCCTCTGCCTCCCGAGTGCTGGGATTAAAGGCATGTATGTGCCACCACCCAGTGGAAATAAACAAATCTTTAAACAAAGGATGGGTTTCCCAAAGTGAAGACTGGGGAAAGCAAAAAGTGCTTTGTTTTGTTTTGTTTTCTTGTTCTGGTAGAGCGATTTGGAGGTCCAGCTAAAGATGTAAGAAAGGCAACAAGGCAAATGAACCTGGACTTTTGACCCACAGTTTGGGACTGGAGACATGTGAGAGCTTGTGTTTATAGATACTTAATGCCATGGTATTACTGGGTCACTTTGGGAAGGACTGCTGGGTACCCCAACATTTAGAAATAAAGTAGACCAAAAAGTACACATTGAAAGCAGGGGAGAGTAGGGGGGAGGGGATGACAGCACTGTCTCTGAGGAAACTAATGAGGGAAAAAAAAAAAAAAAAGAGGACAGACAACAGCAGTGAATGCTGTTCAGATGTTGGAAAAGATGTACCCAGAGCAGACACGGCAGCCAAGAAGTATATACTACCACAGCTCCAATAACCCCTGAGAACAGAAGCCCAGCTCCTAGGTAACAGCCAGTACCCAGTAGGAGTACAATGGAAGCTAGGATGTCAAAAGCTCCCCAGTGTTCTAGAAGGTAGGATGACAACACTTTGTACTTTAAGCTCAAATGATGAGGGACAAAATTAGAGTATATATTTTTGCTATAGGTAATTTTCTCTTCTAACAATTATGAGAGAAGTGTATTTAAGAAACTAGAGACTTTTTTAGATACCTAGCCACCTAGATGTCTCTTCAGCCAGCCAGCCATATTCCAATTCACAAGGTGCTTTACCCAATTTGAATCACTGCAAGAGTATTGCTTTTCAAAATCACATTTTCATCTGAACTAAGTCAATTATACTTAGTATGCCTTTGGAGACCTTTTATAAATGTGCCATTCATCAGTTAGCTCTCATTGGTGTTGACTGTTTTCTTTCCCTCTCTGAACTCACGAAAGGGGAGAAAATGGACATTCTATAGAATACTTGAGTAGACACTGGAACTTATGCATACCCTGGGACATGCCAGCTCTCTCAAGGGCCTCCCACTTGCTACAGCTGCCATCTGTTTTCTGATCTGTCTCAGCCTAGTCACAAGAACTAAGAAACTTGTAATAAACTTGTGTTTATTACACCTACAAGGGATTCATTCAATAAGCATTTGCAAAAAAAAAAAAAAAAAAGGCTACATGTATATGAAGTTATGGATTACGGATTCAATTTAACTTTTCCAGGTGACTGAAATAAATGCAGGTTATTCATAACACCTATGACTGTACAGTGTCCAAAGTCTTTGGTTTGGTCAGTTTCATCTTCTGCTACTACATCAAAAGAACACCAAGGTGTAGTCATTTCTTCAGTGCTTTACTAGCTTATTTCTAGACTTTCTCCACGGGAGTTCAATGGTCGGAGTATGGAGCTCTAGAGCAGAGAGAAAGAGTGGCAGTGAATGGTCCAATCTGGAACACAGTATGTATAAACAAGATGCCATGACTACTAAGAAACTAATCTAAGAATAGGCTGGCCGGGCGTTGGTGGCGCACGCCTTTAATCCCAGCACTTGGGAGGCAGAGACAGGTAGCTCTCCGTGAGTTCGAGGCCAGCCTGGTCTACAGAGAAGTGCCAGGACAGGCTCCAAAGCTACACAGAGAAACCCTGTCTCAGGGGGAAAAAAAAAAAATAGGCTGAAAGGGCTACATAAACTTTCATTTGCAACATTCTCCAAAAATATAAAGTTGGAGATAAACTTTCTGTCCAGTTAACTAGACACATACATCAATTATAGGAGTAGTGTGAAATTTTAAATACGGTGGCTATCAGGAAACACTAAAAAAGAAGGGGGAAAGTTCCTAGTAAGAATTTAGTCGCATAGTGTGTAGTGCCTCATGCTGATTGTACACCACTGTAGCTCTAAGAATGGAAATGGGTAACAAGAATACTGTCACCCAGAGTCGAAAAGCAAAGCCTGGAGTCATAAGTGAACAACCTGAGGACTGGATGAAGGGATAAGTTTAAGTGCAATGCTTAGTTTCACACTACTGAATGTGAAGTCAAATCATTCCTGGATGTGATGTAGAGGTCACCTTTAAATTACTTGATTTATCTGCAACAGTTTGTATGTGGGGCCCAATATGGGGAAAGGGCACCTGATAGCCCCCACCCCAAAAAGGTAACAGTCCCCTGTCACCATAAACCTGCTTCCATTAAAGCATTGTGATCACTGGCAGTGACTCCAGGCTTACAGTCCAGGTGACAGTCGCTGCATGTAGATCACGACCACAAGCAACCACTAGGATGATGCTCAACCACACAGCAGTTCTATAATGACCTCATGTGGCTAGATGAAAATGCATTCGGGTATTTCCTGAGTGCATTCCGCCGGGTGACGAGCAGGCTAGCATAATACCTGAATCCTTATACTTCCCTGTATCACAATATAACAAAATGACCTAAATCATCACCTCTGTGCTCTATAATGTATTTTCTAGATAGGTGAGTACCACCGTTACTGAATAATAGCAGATGAACTGCTATTCAGTATCTCAAGAACATTCTTCCCTTTAATCTGCAGGGCTAGCATTTCAAATACCTATAAAAACTCAAGCATACCAACTGTAAAAGCAAAAATAAGTGCCAGGAGAAGCATAAAGTGAATTCTTGAGATTACATCTAAACAAGTAAAACTTCAAACAGAAAAACCATGCAAATAGTGTTATATAGAGTATCCACCTAATTAAGAGGTGTTATTTATCTAGTATTATTCATAGTAATACTAATACAAGTAACAATATCAATATCCCTGAGTTTTTCCCCTAGCTTATTCACCTAGTTTTCATTCAATAATCTATCATATATTGAAAAGTCACTAAATGATTTAATCAAACATTCACAGTCCAAGTGAGAGCCCAGTAAATACAATGCTGAAGCTAAACCCTAGCACATTATTCTCATGATCTTTGTCAACAATGATGAACCCAAATAAATAAATTTTCTAGAAGGAAAATGGGAGAATTTCATAATTGTTCATCAGCAGGTCACATAGATGTCGACTTAAAAAGCAGTTATATCAGAAGAAAAATATGAATATAAACATGACTTAAGTCTCTAAATCAGATTTATCTAAATCTGTAAAACATACTAAAAACCTGTCAAACCAGTCATACATACTAAAACTTGTACTAAGATTGAATATTGAACTAAGAACTAAAATTCCGATAAATTTTCTAACATTAAAATAATAAACATGCATATATAAATATACAAAATATAAAGTGTCAAGCTACAGCAACACAAATTTAAGAATC